AATCAGTATTATGTCAATGAGTATCTATGCAACAGAATTGAAAAGTGACCTTAAATCACCAAATGTATTAACTTTCAGAGCTTCATTTATATACTACACTGTACCATTTCTAGTACATTTAGAAGGGTGACTTTATGCCTATGATCCTATAAAGGATGTTTCTGTGAGAACAAACTGGTGTGACCTTGTAGGTGGTGTTTTTAAGGTGAAGGCTAATGTTGTTTTTGATACATAAACTGACTGAACTCTCACCACGGTTAAAACTAAGATAAATGGATAATTAAATAATTGGGGCGAGAGGCAGATGTGTGATTAAAAGAAAGAAGAGAAAACTCCATCCAATGAGATTATTGTTTTAGAATTATATAAAAGTATGGGCCACGACTATGTAAATAAGATGCTCTGCAGACCATCTCGGCTTTGTTGTTGATTCAATAAAGTCTACAGATTTTTGGCATCCAGAACCCCTTGTCTTTGTGACTCATTTTCTCATTCTGACTTGCAGAAGTATTTGCCAAGACACCAGTTCGGGTTTTGAAGATGGCAAAAACATTGGCGAAACTCTAGGAAAAAGAAATCTGACCTCCCTGTCAACGAATGATGAAACTGAAGGATGCATAACCAACACCGTACTAGCCATCATCCATGCAGTGACAGGAGAACTGTTGGGGACAATTATTGATCAAAATCTGAAAGACAACTGAAAGGGATGCTTGATTAATCACCTGAGTCAAGACCAACACAAGTGATTATTCAATCTTAACGTGTACTATGTGCAGATGAATGCCTACAGATGGGTGAAGAGGCTGTTTAAACCATGGTTGAAATACAAGTTGGCTAAAGGTCTGAAATTGTGCGAACTCAAACGCACTCCATCCTTGGAAAAAATGCAAGTATGGCTGAAGCAGTCATCTGCGATTGGCGAGATGAGCATCACAGCAAAACTGTTCTGAACAAGGTCAAAGAGAAAACAAAAGAAATTTGCATAGATCAGTTGTATGAAGACTAGTGGACCTTTCATTCCTACCTGGAAGCCCCTGACCAGCCACATACATGGGAAACTTCAAAAAATGTCACGCCTATTATGACTGTGTGAAAGGATTGAAGACTCAGTTCACCTCTGCTCTCCAAAAAGATTGTTGAACTGAGAGTCATCGACCAAAGTATTTTTATTAATCATCTTACTGTTGATATAGAAGTTGTTTACCAACTATAAATGTTAAGGAACAATATGTGAGATTTTGGGATTCTTTAAGCAATGTAAATACCGTTTTATCTTTTATCTTTCATGTTGGCTGAACCTTTTGAGTACAAAACTAGTCGTGTCCTTATGCATATGTGTGTTTTACAATTACTTAGAATAGAAAATGTTGATGTCAGTAAAATCTTTGATTTTATATTTGATTGAATATTTAATGCATAAAAAATATAAACCTTACTCACGTCATAAGTTTTCTGAGATTAAATGCTTAACCTATACCTGCTTTTGATCATTATTGTTCTGATACTTCAAAATGAATCAACGATGGATGAAGAATATATATTACATAATGAAGAATTGATGAAGAATATATATTATCAGTCCCAGGGTCTCATGGTAGCGTTGAGAGTTTGCGAAGAGCTATTGTTGCGAAAATAGGTAAAACAGTTAATAAGTGTTAAAAAAATGGTTAGCAGAGCTGGATGTGTACAGTCTACATAAATCAGTATCTGTAAAGTTTAAAAGAAACAAGGTTTTTTTTTGTAAAGAACATTGATGTACAATGGCAAGCTGATTTAGTTGACATGAGCAACCTGTCAGAGAGTAATGACAACACAAAATTTATGGTAATGTATAAAGATAATTTATCCAAATATGTGTGTTAGAAAACAAGACTAGAACTGAGGTAACTAAAGCTTTTGATTCCTTTCTAAAGGAAGGTAGGGTCCAAAAAAACCCTACAAACTGGCCAAAGGAAGGAGATTTTGGACAAAGATTTTCAAACTCTAATGATAAAGCATAACATTGTTCACTTTGCTACAGGTAAATGGCAAAAACCAGATGTGTGTGAAAGGTTCAGGATGTGGAGACCAGGACCAGGATGTGGAGATCTTTTACAGCTTTCAAAACAGTGACTTCATACAGGTTTTGGTTCAAGCATACAATCACAATTACCATTCCAGCATCAAAATGAAGCCTATCAAGGTCAACGAATCCAGTGCCTTCAGAGTATTTAAAACCCTCTATGGACTATTTTCTTCAAACATAAAGAAAAAAAAAATCAAGTTAAAAGTTAGTGATATTGTTACAATTTCCCACTTAAAAAGACAGTTTGAAAAAGGCTATGAGCTAACGTTTATGAATTTTACAATTTCTAAACATTTACCGGGAGATCCCCTTGTATACAAAATACAAGACTATGATGTTGAAAACATTGAGGGAACATTTTCTGAACCTGAGTTACAAAAGATTATTATTGGGAAGGACAAGGCATTCAAATTAGAGAAAATGAAAAGGCCCGAAACTGGAAAAAAAGTTTGTCTGGTGAAATGGGTGGGGTGGCCCGATAAGTTTAATTCCTGAATTCCGGCTCAATATGTAGTTAACATTAGAGCTTAAAAAGGATCGTTGTGAACAGAACTGAAACCTATAATCATTAAACCATGGAAGAGTGTGGGTTCTTTGTGACCCTTCCAAGCAATGCGTTGATGGACATTTACCCTAATAATAAGATTGGACACTATACTACTAAATTTGGGAGGAGTCACTATCAGAGGTTCAATATATCCATAGTTGGTACTTATAGACAGTAAGAGCATGACTGCATATGTCATGTTTCTCTGAGGGATGGAAATAAAGTACAAACCAATTACTTTCAAATCACTCACGCGTTTTACAAAAGTATC